TAGTAACAAAATTTATTGAAAAGGAGAAAAACAGACAGACTGAGTATTATAATAAAAACCGACATGAAGTTGATTTTAAAGTTGGTGATTTAGTACTTAGAAAATCTAATAAATTATCGAGTGGAGTCCAAAAATTTGCGACAAAATTAGCTCCAAAATTTGAAGGCCCATTTGAAATTATTAAACAATTATCTCCTTCAGTCTTTGTATTACGTACCCAAGACAGTCGTAGAAATCCAAAAATCCATGTCACTGACCTGAAGAAATACCTATCTAATTAAATGGAATATAATTTGTATTAACCAATTGTTTGATTTTAGGTTTTGATGAATTTTTATTTGGGAAAAGAAGTGATATCAAAGAATATAATTATGCCACGAAGAGGATTATCACGCGGAGAACCATTGTCTAGACATCGTCCAACTGAGGGATTCAAGCCACCTTCTGACTACTCAACAACACCATCCCTACTCGACTTTCCAATAACGGATATGGACAATAATAAATCCTTATGTACGGGACCTAGTTCAGCTAAATTTGACTTGGGAAAGAAGAATGACGTAAAAATCGCCGAATTGGGAATAATAAACCCTTTAAATCTACCTAAAGCACAAATTGACAATAGGAAAATAAAACAACAAGATGGAGAGAGTTGGGAAGCATTCGGTTGTCGCCTAGCGGTAGATGAATTAGACAGATTCCTCAAGAACCAAGAACTGTTTATATTGAGGATATTGTTTATATTAAGGAATTAAAATAAAAACAAACTGATGAAATTAACGTTAGAAAAAGAATCTTCCAGAAAGAAGACGTAGTACGCCCATGTGATGGAGATGACATCGAGAGACCCCGTTCAATCACACCACCAGGTCCACTAAATAAGCCTAATATGGAACCTATTATAACTAAAGGTAATGCGATTGACCAAAGGTCCCTAATTGAAGAAATTAAGGAAGCGCTGCCCAGAAAAACTACAGGAAGGTTCTTTAACGATATGATCTCAATACGGACAGATCCAACCATAGACCCACCTCCACGTGTATGTTTGAACTGTTGGAGGAAGGGACATAATTGTGCTCAATGTCCTAATCCGATTAAGCATTCATATTGTGAGAATTGTGGGCGTAAATTCGAGACAATGGCTACATGCCCCCGTTGTGCACAGGGATATAGACGATACTTGTTGAAAGGAAAGAGTACCGACAGGCAAAATGAAACGTTTCCGTCAATGTCCGATGAGGAAGAGGAGAGACGACCTAGACAACAGCGCCGACAGGACAATCCTTTACTACCGGACATCTGGAAAAAGGATGTTAATCTAGGGATAAATGTTGACGGATATGGTTTCAGTGAGAGAGCCTGGGGATTATCTAACACGCCCTCACCACCGGTTACAAGACGACCAATTTTATTTACGAAAACAAAACAAAATAAGGAAGAGGATGTTACCTACGCTGAGGAGGAGACAGATAGTCCTAAGAAACCTAAGATAAGCAACGAGGAAGTAGAAAGCTTCGATAAGGACGAGAACGGATCGCCACCCCCATATGAACAACATTACGAATCCATAGAATCAACTTTACCATTGATAACAGCAATTCAAAATCTAACCATGGCAATGGAAGGTTTACCAACGGAAACCATCAACATGGCTGTTCAGCAGTTAATTAAGGAACGTCAGTATGAGACAGAGAGAAAATATGTTAAGTGATTCGTAAAGGAAAAAAGAGTAATATTTTTTTTATTATTTTTTTTAAAAGATTCATTTAATTATGTTTATTATGTTTTTCTTTTGTCAAATAACGACCTACAGTAGTAGGTCTAGCCTTAATGAGGGGGTATTGTGACATTACGAATTTGTCACAGAATTATCATTTATTTTTTTTTATCTTTCGTTATTAATGCTATTATATTTTTGTTTGTTTATTATTTCTGATTTGGTTGAATTTAAATTACGCGCTATTTTCATCAATGCGATTGAAAATGGGATGAGAATTCTCTTTTATGACTAGGGTTGTCATATAGAAATATGTAGCAGACGACAAAAACACGTTTTTTTAAAGAATAATAGAGAAGTAGTTCTATGAGGTATGTCGTTGAGCGAGAATATAGAATAATTGTTTCTTTTGTAAGTGAAATATATATGAGTTGAATACGAATTAGTTGTGAAATAACTTTGTTCAATTTACTAATAAAACACCTGTGAAAATAATTGGATAGCTGATTATTCGAAACTATACCTGTATTATTGGATTTATTGGACTAGTCATACTGAGTAAAATATTGTAAGTAAAATTCTATTCTAAAATTTGTCGTGTTTCAAAAGTTAAGTTTTTCCCTTATTAATTTATATTTCTCAATGGAATATCCCTTTTGAGAGAGAGAGAGAGAGATCATAGAAGTGATGTTATTTTTGAATATAAACTTGAATAATAATTTTTGTTAATTTTTATAAAAGAAAATTGACTGGCGTCTAACTATCATGTTGGTAAAGAATCAAATTTATGACAGACAAGGGAAGATAAATTATAAAATATTTCATAGCTTCTGAATAATTATTAAATAAAAAGTCGTCATAAAGTATTTACAAGGGGAGGCTGATTAACCACTCAAGCAACGGCAATATGAAACCGTTTCTTTTGGTAATTAAGAATAAACCTCGAATTTTTTTCAAAGCAACGCAGGATATTGAACCTGATACTGATCTCTTGTGGGATTATGGAGAGTTACGACCGTCTGTTTTAAAGGAAAACCCATGGTTGAAGAGAGGTAATATTTAAAATAAATTGATTGTTTTTTTACAATGCTCTAATTAAGAGATAAAAAATAATTCTTTTCACATTATTTTCTAAATTAAAATGGAAAAGCTTTTTTAATTCTTCCGTTCTTTCGTGAAAAACGAAATAAAAATATTGCACTCCACACCTAATAAGCAGCTTTCTCAATCAAATGATCTACAGTTTACAGATTTGCAGTTATCGGTTATAAATTCTGAAAACAAAAATCTTTCATTCAATATAACAAAATTAGAAAGTTCAACTACTTCTCTTGAAGCATCTGATCAAGTTCTTCGAAATGGCTTTAAAAAAATGATAACAAATTTAGTCAGGAAAATAGTCAAACTGATACTGATTTTCCAGAGTTGCTCGGTCCTGAAAACAAATTACTTAACGATGGTAAATATTTAATTAAAGAAATTATTGTTCCTGTTATTAATTTAGCTCCAAATGGTCAAGTTCAAGTTGAAAATAGTACAAATGTTTCTGAATCTTGTCGTGACATGAGTCACACATCGCAGACAGATAGTACTGAAAGTGATGTAAATTATGAACCCGATAGTTCTGATACGCAATCTATGAATAAACTTGTAAACACATAAGAAACTTTAGAGACATGTGATACAATTATACTTCCTGGAGTTCCAGTTGATGTTCGTGGAATTTCAGTGCCGACTTCAAAAATCAATGGCATATTTTCCACAAAAAAATATTTTTGTCGATATTGCAAAACTCTAGTAGCAAAATTACCGAGGCATTTAGAGAATAATCACCGAGAGGAGGATGATGTCAAGAAGTTAACAAATTTGTCGAAAAAATCAAAAGAAAGGATAAAATTAATTGACAAAATAAGAAAATTAGGAAGCTATGAACACAATACAAATCGAGATTATAACACTAGAATACTACTTACTTCTTGTAGATGTCAAGAAAAAATTATGAATAACGCCGATAATTACATCCATTGCCCAACCTGTTTAGGAGCTTTTTCAAAGAAGACAATACATATTCATAGTAAAACCTGCGATCCAAAATACAAAAAGGGAGAAAAATGTTTAAAAGTTGCTGGTCGACGTAAGGAAGGTTACATTTATGAAAGAGCAAGTTATCTTTTACGCAATAACGTTTTCCCAGTTTTAAACGATGATGATGTTGTTCGCATAATTCGTTATGACTTATTGGCGATTTTAGTGGGTAATAAAATGTGTCAGCAATACACTGATGATTATCAACATGATTTAACTCGGTCGCAGTTGAGATTACTTGGACGTCTCAAACTAGCGTTGTTAAAGCGAAATAAAGAGCTGAGTGAATTATATTTACTCTTTCATCCAAGTAATTATGACATATTTATTCAATCAGTCAGAGAATGCGCCGGCTATGATAAGAAAACACACTTCTTTACAGCTCCTTCGACTGCATCAGCCATAGGTACTTTAGTAAAACAATTCTCACTTGTATGGATATCTGAATGCATAAAAAAAGGTTATGACGAAAGGAAGGAAAAAACGAAGGAATTTATGTTGCTTTACGAAGATGACTTTCCCACTGCAGTGAATAAAAAGGTAATTAAAAACCAAATTAAAATAAAGCGCAGTAAAAAAATGGTATTGCCTTCAAAAAGTGATATTGGTGCACTCAGTGGCGAATTAACTAGATAGGCAAGGTAGGCAGCTGCCTAGGGCGGCAAATTTTAAAGGTTTAGACTAGATATGTCGGTGCTCGGATGATGTAAAATAGAATTTTTTATTCTTAATATCACTATGTATTTATATTTATCACTTTTAATAATTCCAAGTCTTTTATAAACGTACTTCTTAGTATTTCTACATATATGCAATTCAAAATTCCCCGCTTGAATTCTAACCTTTCATTACATCGTTTTGTAGCTCCTCCGGGGTATCTGCAGTGTCACGTTACTAAATATGATTGGCTCTGACAAAAGTTCATTTTCACGCAGCTTTTTGTATTGCCAATCATATTTAGTGACGTGAAGTTTCACGACCGTGATTTAGTTCTCGCCAAAAAATTTGGAAGTGTAAAAACATCTTTAGGTCTGTTCTATTAATGTGAATTCCCTCTTTTCCTTCTCCACGCGCATTTCATGTCAACATTGTAGATATTTACTTATACATATGTTATGTTTGTTTCGTTTTTACAAATACAAATTAAAAACGAAATTAAAAAATAAAGAAAAGTTCTATAAATTTCTCTCAAATTAAAATGAGTGACGGTCGAAATCGATTAAGTGGTTGTGAATATCGAAAACAAGCTTTCAAAAGGAAATTGAAAGATGACGAGGTTATGGCAAAAACTCGAAAACTTTCCTCCTATTTTATCACTAAGCATCTTGAAGTAAATGTTTTAAACACTACAGAAAAAAACGAGCTCTCAGATGACATTGATAATGAGAGAAAAATTAACGATGACGAATTAGAAAAACCAAACAGTACCAATTTGTTTTCAACGCAAGGTAACAATTACATTTTTAATCCGTTAATGATTTTGTCAACAAACGTAACAATTAAAAAAATGTAATAAATAAAATTTGTATTATGTAGATGTGTTTGGTGATAAAATGTTTTTTGAAAATTCAAATCTCAGCGATGACCCGGCAAAGTGGATCATATCCGACACATTACGTGATCATTTCGCTCAACATGGCTACAAACAAAATAAGGATGTCGATTTTTCACAGTCAAAAAGAGTTCTAACGATAACGTCAGATATTTGAATTTATCGTTGTTTGAAAGAAAACTCTTAAATGGTGAAAAATCTCTGCGTGTTTGGCTAATATATTCTCAAAGTAAAGGAGCTTTATACTGTGTTCCATGTCTTCTTTTTGGCGGCGATTCTTCGTTTGCTGACAAAGATGGATTTAGTGATTGGAAAAATGCGGTTAATAGAATAAGTGATCACGAAAATTCAGAAAAGCATGTAAGTTGCTTAAAATCTCTGAACGATAGAGCTAATGCTTTCGGTAGAATTGATAAAACTCGAATGAAAGATTATAATAAAGAAGTAGTCTACTGGCAAAATGTTTTGAAACGAGTTGTCGCTGTTATCAAAAGTTTAGCTTCACGTGGATTGGCTTTTAGAGGACATGATGTCAAGTTTGGTTCTCTTCACAATGGGAATTATTTAATGTTATTAGAATTGATAGCAGAATTCGATCCATTTTTAGCTGATCACATTTCAAGATTTGGAAATAAAGGTACTGGTAATACCAGTTATTTGTCGAAAACGATTTGTGAAGAATTAATACAAATTTTGTCTGCCAAGGTATTAAATACAATGATTTAAGAAGTCAAGGATGCGAAATACTACTTTATTATTGTAGATTCGACACCCGACATTTCCCACGTGGATTAACCACTGATCTATATACTAACTGGATGGCGTATGCCATGTAAAGTTGGAGCTAGTTTCTGCGACCAATAGAACGCCATTTTTTTTCCCCCCGAGTGTGACTCGTATACATTTGGCAATCTTCGTGATTTTTTCGCGCGAATATTCAAAACAATAATATATTCTGTTTGTAAAATTTAACGATTTTATGAAATTTCCTTTAAGAAAAGCAGTATACAAACAAATATATTGTAAAAGAATATATCTCATAATAATAATAATCCATATTTGCGACAATAATTTTTGGGAAAAAGGTTAGTAATATATTTAAACGCTTGTGAAAATGTTTTATTTAGGAAAAGAATCTAATTTACAAAAATCAATCTAAGTTTTAAAATTATAATGGTATACATATAACATGATATAATGTGATATATATTTTAAACTTTTGACTAAAATTTAAATTAAATTAAGTAAGATAATTAGAACACATATTTAATAATATAAAATATAATATAGTTTAAAAAAATAGTACATAATTAAAAAAGTATGTAAATATACTTTCAATAAAACAAGTGGCAATAAATGCCAAAAATTGATTGTTTCATTTGTATATCTATCACTAAAACTATTTACTTACGTAATAAAAAGGAACTTCCTTTTAGACAGTAATAAACTGTAGAATATCAAGAGATAATTAAGAAGGAAGTACTTTTGTAGAAATTCCTCATGGCAATTTTATGTTACTTCTGACTAAAAATATTTTGCGCTGTGAAATTAAAAAGTATTTATTATCTGGAAACAAAGTTATAAATTACATAATGCAGTGAAATAGTTTAAGGTAAATGGAAACATATATGATGGGTTTGACAAATAATGAATGTTTTAGGTAAAATGAAAGAAAAGCATTGATTGTGAAAAAGAATTTTTGTTTAATTGATTGAGTAATAGTAATAATTTTACAGTGTAGGAAAAGAATTATTCCAAAAATCCCAAACATGCATGTCGAAAGATAATGAAACTTCACAAACATTTTAAAAAAAGCTAAAAATAAAGAGAACTGATTGAAAAATAATATTTTTTCTATAACTAATTTTAAAAAAATTATTTTTTCAAATAAATAAATAATTTTTTTTCTTTAAAACATAATATTTTTTATACGAATAAAATTTGGACTATTAGTCAACGAAAATAATTTTTCCCTGTATTAAATTAAATAATTTTTCTTCCAATAAATTTCAGACTTATGGACAGCATACATAAATATTATGTTTCTATTGTACTACTAATACTTTTTAGACTTGTAGTCGACATATATATGATTTTTCTTTGGTTCTACTAACACCTTTTATATTAATAAGCAACAAAAATAATAGTTTTCTTGTGTTCTACTAGTACTTTTGGATTTATAAATAATAATACAAAAACAGTAATAAAAATGTGACTTTTTAAACAAATTAAAGTTAGTTTTGAATCATCTAATATCACAATTTTCTACGTGACAGTGTCAATTATTGGCCGGCCCAAATAATTTGTCGATTCATATGATGTCGACGACTAACTCCTGTCAGTTTATACGTAGCTGACTTTGTAGCTGCAAACATACGTAACTAAATGTACGTTTTACAAACTTGTTTCGATAGCAAATAAATATGATTGACCTCTTCTATAGAGTTGTCGAACATGTGATCATTTAATGAGGTAAATAATGTGCATGGAGTTTGTAAAACATTTTGCAAAACAGAAGAGCAAAGCAATGCCGGAAAGTTTTTTTCTGAAGCAATCATTCCATCGAATTTTGCAAGGGAATTTCGAAAAAATATTTCCGTAACCTTACAAATTTTGACCACCGACTGACTTGGAAATATTAACCCTCCCTTACTTTTTGCTTCGATCAACCTATTATCAGACAATCTTTGAGATTCTGATTGAAGAAGAGCTTGACGACAAGACTCACACCATATCACTGATTGTTTCTGATAAATAAGTTTTCTTATCACCCATCCAGCAATATAACCTATCGTAGTTTCTGAAAAACTTGATAAAGTTGTAGGAATACTGTATTCAAACTCATTCATAAAGTTGTCATCATCAAGGCTTTCCATAGCCTGCAAACCGTACTTTCTACATACCCTCATATTTTGCATAGCATCATAAATGTCAGGATCGAAACGGTCAACATTTTTATTAGCGCGACTAGAAGATACAGAAAGTACTTTTGTGGAATCCATTGCGATCACATTTCCATTGGTTGCTTCAATTTCTTGGCGTACTAAGAGTCTCTTATACGCAGACACAAATTGCGAGGCAGTTGGATTTGGGCACCAACCGCCACATTTTCGTATTGCACAAAAAAAGAGCTCCAAGTGGTCCTGACTGAATTTATATGTGAGTAAATATGATAACTGAGATTGAGGTTGTGAAACAAGAGTATCAAAAAGAGATATCACAGATTCAACAGCTGTTATGAAACCAACAAATGGTACGTACCTACGGGTTTTATACATTGGTGTACCTTCCAAATTCGTAATACCCTTTAGATACTCTATGTCTTCGAGAATCGATTGACGCCAAAATGTTTCATTGCTTTTCCGCAAAGGAGCTTTAAATCCACGCCCGTAAGGACTGCGAGAGTTTAAAAAATCGAACAATCTATCAACAACCCTGATGAATTTTACAGTTGCTTCTGATCCTTCAAATGATTTAATTTCTAAAACACGAAAACAAAAATCTATAGCATCTGCAGTGCTACTACTAAGTGTTTGGGCAGCAAGATTCACTTTCATTTTACTTTTAAAGTACAAAATATGCGCCATTCTAACTTTATTTGCAGCCCTTAAGCCTTCATCTTCTTGTAGTTTAGCTAATTCTTCTATAAACTTCCAACAAATTAAATTTCCGTCCTTATCTTTTAAAACTTTCATGTCACCTAAACAATTTCTCATGAGTTTCAGCATGTGGCATGGATCTAAAATAACGTGCACTTTTTCTCCAGAGATGGGATGATTAAAGAAAGGTTTTGGATCAGGCATATTAAAATTAGCACCAAGTAATTTCATAGTAGAAAAATGTTCCTGAGGGCCGTCTAAAGTTATAGAAGTTACTTTAACACCAATTTCATGTAATTTAATAAGGGCCTCAGTGATTAACGAAGAATGAGTTTTAGAAGTTACTCCATTAACTAGAAAATACCCTATTGGTATTTTCCACGATTCATGAAGACAAACTACCAGAAGCACAAGAGCATTTTTCGCCAAAGGAAGAGTGTCATCTGATTGAATGTCAGTACCTACATTAACGTAACCTCTTACAGATCCATTTGGTAAATATTGAAGACTTTTTTTAATACCCATTTCATCTGACATCAGAGATACTAAAACTTCTTTTCCTTGACTTCTAGCTTGCTCAACCTTATGCTTAAGAGCATCGAAACTTTCCACAGTGAACCCTGGTTCACCATTGATTGTTGAGTACCATGCTCTTAAAGAACTAGGATGAGGCAAAGCAAAACAGAATTTTCGACGAATAAAACTATACGCTTTTGGGGAATAAAAATGAAGCGTCATTGCGAATGAACGAAGTGAAGGAGGATACTGCTCACGAGAAATTTTAATTTTAGAATTCAAACCCTGTCGACTTTTAAAGGAAGTTTTACGACTACTGTTACTGTTTTTAGGTGCATTTTTACAATAACGTTCTAAAAATTGACTCACATCATTGCTACTGTCATTATTAGCTATTGATTCTAAGCATGCAAAGCCAGTTTCACACATTGGTTTAGTTTTTTTTAATTCACTTACTATGTCTTTTAAGCTGGATATTTTTTTTTTCATTCGAACAATTTTTTGATTATTATTTCGAAGAGCAGTTTTCAATCTCTTGTTGCTTTCTTGTACCTCTAATAACTTTCTTTTTAATTTCCCTGGTGAAGTGGCATAATTATGATCTGCAGAAGTAGATTGTACTGTTATCTGTTCTTCTCTGCAACTTGAATTATTATTATCATTGCAGTCTATTGAAGGTGCATCTTCAACAACCATCATTTCTTCTTGAACAGATGTCTGTTCATCGTCATAAGCAATAGGTATCGTCTCGGGCACAATTGGATTCTCTAAGTCAGGTGTCAGTCTTTCACTCTCTTGGTGTAAGTCTGAAAAAAGTATATGAGGCTAAAGTCGGCAACGTTTTTAACCCTCCTACAGTTTTACCATTTTTTTATTTTCCGGAAAATAAATTTACAATTGTGTTAAAATAAATTTTCATAATTTAATTTTTACTTTAAAACAAAAAATAAAAAAAAAAAATTTTTGTATGTTACATTCATTTCTAATTTTCATGTGAACAAATATTAATGAAATTGTATAAGAATATAATAATTGTTACAATATGATACAATAATATAATATAAATAGACTATATTAAAATTATTAAAAAAAAATTTCTCAAAAATAATATGAATTTGAATTAAAAGTAAAGTAAATCGTTGCATTACTTTTTTCGTTTTTAAAAACTCTGCTGACTTGAGCCTCATAAAAATTAATTTTTTTGTTAATAAGAAACTTATTCTAAAAATAATTTAATTACTTTTATTTACCGTTTGATGATATTTCTCCAAAAACTGTTGGTACTGCACTTTTTTTTAAATATCCCTTTCGACGCTCGTGATTCCGATAACAATCATTTTCAAAATGATTCGAACAAATCAAGCTTGTCTGCGATGGGATTATCTCTTTCGATCGTGTTGATTTTAACCACATTTTCAAAAGAACCGCATCGTTTTCAGGAAACCTATATATTTTATTTATTTAATAATATTTTCTTTCAGTATTGTAATAAGATAAAATTTTTATTCCGATAATTGAAAGATAAATATTATTTATTATAAACGAATATTGCTGAAAATAAAAAAGAGTTTTAATTTTGAAACTTACGTGTTAAATGATGGACAGTTTGCT